CTGTATTTGTGTGTATGTGCGTGTCTGTATGTGTATGTGCGTGTCTGTGTGTGTATGTGCGTGTCTGTGTGTGTGTCTCTGTATTTGTGTGTATGTGCGTGTCTGTATGTGTGTCTCTGTATTTGTGTGTATGTGCGTGTCTGTGTGTGTATGTGCGTGTCTGTGTGTGTATGTGCGTGTCTGTGTGTGTATGTGCGTGTCTGTGTGTGTGTCTCTGTATTTGTGTGTATGTGCGTGTCTGTGTGTGTATGTGCGTGTCTGTGTGTGTATGTGCGTGTCTGTATGTGTGTCTCTGTATTTGTGTGTATGTGCGTGTCTGTGTGTGTATGTGCGTGTCTGTCTGTGTGTCTCTGTATTTGTGTGTATGTGTGTGTCTGTGTGTGTATGTGCGTGTCTGTGTGTGTATCTGCGTGTCTGTGTGTGTGTGTCTTAGTATTTGTGTGTATGTGTGTGTCTGTATGTGTGTCTCTGTATTTGTGTGTATGTGCGTGTCTGTGTGTGTATGTGCGTGTCTGTATGTGTGTCTCTGTATTTGTGTGTATGTGCGTGTCTGTGTGTGTATGTGCGTGTCTGTGTGTGTATGTGCGTGTCTTTATGTGTGTCTCTGTATTTGTGTGTATGTGCGTGTCTGTGTGTGTATGTGCGTGTCTGTGTGTGTGTCTCTGTATTTGTGTGTATGTGCGTGTCTGTGTGTGTGTCTCTGTATTTGTGTGTATGTGCGTGTCTGTATGTGTGTCTCTGTATTTGTGTGTATGTGCGTGTCTGTGTGTGTATGTGCGTGTCTGTATGTGTGTCTCTGTATTTGTGTGTATGTGCGTGTCTGTGTGTGTATGTGCGTGTATGTATGTGTGTCTCTGTATTTGTGTGTATGTGCGTGTCTGTGTGTGTATGTGCGTGTCTGTGTGTGTATGTGCGTGTCTGTGTGTGTGTCTCTGTGTTTGTGTGTATGTGCGTGTCTGTGTGTGTGTCTCTGTGTTTGTGTGTATGTGCGTGTCTGTGTGTGTATGTGCGTGTCTGTGTGTGTGACTCTGTGTTTGTGTGTATGTGCGTGTCTGTGCCGGTTGTGTGTTTGTCTGTGTATCTGCGTGTCTGTGTTTGCGGGTCTCAAGCGTGTGTATGTGTATGTGCGTGTCTGTGCCGTGTGTGTGTTTGTCTGTGTATGTGCGTGTCTGTGTTTGCGGGTCTCTGCGTGTGTATGTGAATGTCTCTCTGTCTGTGTGTATGTGCGTGTCTGTGCCGGTTGTGTGTTTGTCTGTGTATCTGCGTGTCTGTGTTTGCGGGTCTCTGCGTGTGTATGTGAATGTCTCTCTGTCTGTGTTTGTGTGTCTGTGTACCTCCTGTGTCTGTATATGTCTGTCTCTGTGATTGAGTGTCTCTGTGTGTCTGGATATGTGTTTCTGTGTGCTTCTTTGTGCGTGTGTTTCTGTGTCTCTGTGTTTGTGTCTGTGTCTCTGTGTCTGTGTGCATAATGCTTGTGTTATAGTGCTAGTCCAGTGATATACAATACTAGCAGGGTAACAACAATGCAAGTCTTTAGGAATGAGGCGTCTGGATTGAACCACCGATCTTCCACTCTCCGGACAGACGCTCTACTCATAAGGCCAGGGAGTTGGTCCGATCATTTGTGGCATATATACCAGCTACCGACGCCCATAGCAAGGAAAACGCTTTTCATGCACTGTATAATTCCGTAAAGGCCAAGATAGGGTAACGGCTCATTTTAGACCCCGGGATCTGTATAATTTAAGAAATAAACAAAACGATTACCAGTTATAGTATTTCTTAGGTGACGTAGGACAGTACCAACACATCGTACCAAAGCCCCTTGGGTCAACAAAATCGTCATTTTTCACTCACACTAAAGTATTTTTTGTAGACATAGGCCCCGTTCCTCAAAGCAATCTTAGCGCTAAGGTGATCGTAAGTCCCCTACTTTAACATTGGCTTGCGATCATCGTAGTGCTAAGATCGCTTTGTGGAACGGTCCCAAAGTCCAAAACCAGCAAGTGGAAGGAACAAAAAAAACAACATCATTTCAACATATTTGATAGTTTTCAAACCAAAATCTCAAAGTGCTCCGTGACGTTACAGTTTTGACATTTTCAGTGGGTCAAGAACGGCCCTTATACTTCCCCTTCCCTTATGGCCCGCTAACTCCTCCAACCAATGTTACACTAACTCAGTGTCAAGAACGTACCCTGGAGAGATAAATGTAAACACAATGTAAACACAATGTAAACACAATGTAAACACAATATAAACACAATATAGAGTGAGTGAGTGATCGAGTGAGTATGGATTACGCCGCCTTTAGCAATATCACGGCAGAGGACACCAGAAATTGGCTTTACCAATTGTAACCATGTGGGGAATCGATCCCGGGCCCTTGGTGTGACAAGCGAACGCTTAAATTATAACCACTAGGCTACTCCACCGCCCCTACAGTGTCAAGTCGTTGGTAGGTATCTATATTGACAAAGCAGTTACTAGTCAAAGAAAAACAGGATAATAATTCAAAATGGCTTTTTCACTGTTTGAGTATTTTAAACGTGTCACGACCTTTAGTCACTGAATACGGTATTATGAATGTAAATCCAAATTAATAATCAGAGAAATGCACGTTGACATGTTTCCAATGAAGTGTAGTTAGAGTTACCTCCCTTGGCCGTTAACACAACTAAGCGTTGTGGGCTGTTGGCGGGCGTAACAAAAAACAAGAGGTATTTGATATATTGATTTAAGCTATCTATTGAAATCCGTGGTATGTCTCTTAGATTTACTTTGAAGGGTTGGAGAAAGTGCTTGAGTTTAAAAATGACTAAAATGTACAGTGAAACTAGATTAGCACGTTTCAAGGATAAGGTTTTATGGATGAATAACTTCTAAATTACAATTAAGAGCGACGTTTCGGTGTAGGTTCTCAGACCGTTATCAAGCAAGTGATATACAGAGTATGGTTGACAAGTATATATACAGGTACCGAAACGTCGCTCTTAATTGTAATAAAGAAGTTGTTTATCCATAAATTCGTATCCTTACTTTGTACTCCAACTCCTAAATGCCTATTAAATAAGTTAGATTAGCACGTATAGCCCATCTCACGGGCGATGTTGTTGGAATGAATGTGAATGACTGACTTAACATTCTACCATGAATTTGGAAATTACTCGATTCCGATTGGTACATCAGATGTATCTAATCCCAATTCTGGTTGAATCGGTCCATTTGACGATCGCCCCCGGAATAAAATATTTTAAAAAGGACTTATTTCTTATTCAATGTCGGTAGGCATTTTAAACGCATTCAAACAATGGACAAAATCCATTCCCCTTCATGCAATATCTTCGCTTACCCCAAAGAGTTTATTTTTGTCATGATAAAGGTACAGTGTCTTCAGTTTATAGCTATAGTCTGGAAGGTAATTTAAGGAACCGACGTTTACTACAATATCTGAAAAACTATTGGACCTACACCTGTCAAAGTTGGTATGAGATTATTAAACAGTCATACATAACTGGATATTACATTTAAAGACAATCGGTGCATGAATAAAAAATCTGTCTATTTAGCTATCACTATATTTCATCAACAACCAGACCTGTTCGTCACGGGTGGAACGAGCATTCATTGTAACAGCCATCTGCATAATGCTACCCCTGCGTCACAGGGCCATATGACACAGTTGAACCAATCAACTCAACTCGAAAGGTTCAACGTTCGGTTCCAAAATCAATTGAGCTCGGATAATTGTACAGGTAACCTAGCTCTAAGTACGTTAGTACACAGCGCGTTTATCACTCAATAGGGGTGATTGGGTAGCCTAGTGGTTAAAGTGTTCGCTCGTCACACCGAAGACCTGGGTTCGACCCCCCACATGGGTACAATGTGGAAGACATTGGATATTGCTTATTTCGGTTTACTCTTCGTGCTTTTAAAGTTTGTGTGATTAAAAACTACTCTAGGTAAATATACATCCGTTGTTCAGGGGTACCCGGTAGAATAGGTCAGCGTTAAAAGGGATAACGCCGTGATATTGCTGGAACATTGCTAAAAGCAGCGTAAAACCATACTCGCCATAGTCACTGTCTCCTAATTACCCACCACTGAAGATCCGGGTTAGATTAGGTCCTCAGCAAGTTCCAACCCATGCTTGTCGTCAGAGGCGACAAACGGGATCGGGTGGTCAGACTCGATGACTTGGTTGATGCAAGTCATCGTATCCCAATTGTAGATAGATGCTCATGTTGTCAATCACTGGATTGTTTGGTCCAGACTCGATTATTTTCAGACCGCCGTCATATCGCAATTATATTGTTGAGTGCGGCGTTAAACAAAAAAAGTTCCTAATTACCCTGTACCCATGATTTAATAATCCGGACATTTCTTAATCCGGACAAACTCTAACAATAAGATATCTGTAGGTGAATGAACCCCTGCAATTGCCATCCGAAGGGGAAGGTATCGACCTTCTAACATGTTTAAGTGAGTGAGTATGGTTTTACGCCGATTTTAGCAATATTCCAGCAATATCACGGCGGGGGACACCAGAAATGGGCTTCACACATTGTACCCATGTCGGGAATCGAACCCGGGTCTTCGGCGTGACGAGCCAACGCTTTAACCACTAGGCTACCCGACCGCCCCTTCTAACATGTTTAATCATGTGTGAAGGTGAAGGTCTGCATGCTGAGACAAACATCATCAGTATAAGGTCACCGTGACCGACTTATTACGAGTAACAACTGCACACGGAGATGTTGATTAAGGAAGTTCAGTTTAGACTGACCTGAATTTGGAATAAGGTCAAGGTCACATTAAGAATGTCAAGTTTGCAATTTAAAAAAAAAAAAATTATACCCATTGCATTTAACAGATCTTTCAGTATATTTATCTAGGTCAAGGCCAAATTCATCACGTCAGTAAGTGAAATTCTTTATTCCCGCCCACGCCCACGCTATTTGACACAAAACAAATCAAATAAAAAAGACACAACACACGTAAATATTTAGTTAATTTAATATAAAAATATCTTACGTATAAAACATTCAAAAATAAATAAATCACATTTTTACATTGGGATCATACATGAAACTGGGTTCAGTGCCATCTAAAAGTGTAACTCTGTCATTCGTGTTCGGGAGTTTGATTCGAAGCTCGTGAGATCAAACAATAAGAACGCATTGCGTTGCACTGATTTTACCATGGGGGCAAATATTAAACTCAAATTTAGAAATTAAGAAAACATACTTTAAATACTACACGACAGCTTAGAATTTTAGATGAGAAGGTTCAAGGGGTTCAAAAAGTCATTTTTATTGTGAATTTTTAAAATAGCTTGTAATTCGCATTTTCTTGGTTTTACCCCACCATTTGAACAAGAGCACTATCAATTTTGGGGCAAATCATATCGTGTTTGATTCATGTTGTTTCTGGGGATGAAGAACATATCCTTACTGTCAATGACAAAGATGTTCCTTTTAACGCTATCAGTCAATGACCAGTTTTTCATAACTAATGTATATTATAATATGTAACTTAATGATAAAGCACCAACAACGCAGAACATTGCGTAAATGAACAGGAAGCATGTCACTTGAGCGCGCGTTGCAGCATCCAATAGTCCACATGGTAATAACACACATATTCGAGACAAAGCTATTGCATATGACTACATCAGTTTCACAAGCGTTCAACCTTACAAAGTTCAAAACATGAAATGAGCATGATACTGACTGTGAAGAACAATGAGCAATCGGAACATCCTCCATCGATCTTGGTTGCCTCGGAAATCCGAATTGTTCCGATAGAATGAGCAAAATGAACACGTAGAAACGATGGATGGGATTCTATAGAATCCATGTTAATGCTATTTGCAACTGGCCAGTGTTTGGTTAGGGATTTCTAAGTATTTACACAACGTTATAGTGGCCACGGAATGCGAAGGGTTTGTAGCGCGTGTTAGCGTCCGGATGGGTTGAGAGAGTAGTGGCAATGTTTGTAAATACGTATTTTTGTGGGCCCACCCTTTTGTCGGGCTGTGCAATGGTGCTTATTGCTGTCTCCACATTTGCCTTATATTTTTCCATCACACTCTTGGATGATTTAAAGTCTGGTGTAAGTGAGGTGAACCCTGTATAAAATGGTAAAAAAAACAAAGTCACGAGCATCACGAGAATCAGTAATGCTTCGCTTGCAAAAAAGCCCACAAGCACAGCACATGTCACTGCGAACAGGTTGTAGCCCCATAAATGTTTACAGCTCGAAATAAAAGGATTTGAGTTTTTGAATTCCTCTTCCACGGCTCTCTGGGGAACCCATTTCACCGATGCACTAATATTGGCCTGAATGGCCCGTACGATTCGTACGCATCCCACCATTGCCTCAGGTGTGAACTGGAGGATGGAGGCGACAGTCTCGAGGAACACAAACTTGTAGTTTTCTCGGGTGCAGGTGGCAAACTTTGGGAAGACGAGGACGAGGAACATGACGATGATGATGGAGGCGTACCTATAACGGAGATGTGTCTGGTAGTGGATGATGATGTATGCCAGCAGGAGCGGCTTCATGAACATCTGACGCAGGGCGGAGTGAGCAATGTACGACGTGACAAAGTCCAGCTTTGACTCGGTTCTCAGTTTGGTGGCATTGAACTTCTCTCCTTGAAGCTTCTTCTGGAGCCATCGCATTGGTATACCGATGGCGTTCTTCCAAAAGTACATGGACAACAGAACCTCACCTCTGTTCCACCGTCTTTCCCGAATATTCCAGGCCACGTAGTTGTAGGAGGGCGCCTCCAGGAGGTAAACGGACCCGGCGTACAGTGGCTTGAGAAGAGCAGCTTCAAATGTGTCGTGGCTGAGTACATCAACGGGAACCCGCTCTATGAGATTGTCTCTGGTTCCTATGACGTTCTCAATATAAACGGAGTTCCTGATCAAAGCTTTACCGAAATAGGACGACTGTCCCAGGAGAGCAGTTATGGCGTTTGTCATGGGTTCATAAATAGCCTGTCTCATTCTTTCCAAATGCATGAAAATAGTGTCTGTACTTGTACAGTGGAGTTTAATGGCTGGTTGTATGATGCCTCTATCAGGGTTGGCCGCAGCTATCTCTAGCAACTGAAACACTGATCCCCTTACAACACCAGTGTCGCCGTCAAGAACCAACGTATAGTCAAACTGGCGGCCGAAAATATTCTCCACATCTTCAGAGTCATGGAACAAAGGCTGCCCAAATGGCCTGGCTTGCCTTCCATAGAAGTCTTTATCTGTATATGTGTAGGCCTCGTCATCACCATGAGATAAAAGCATTAAGTCTTGGTACTGTCCACATTTCCTTAACACTCTGCTCACTCTGTGTACAACCATGAAATCACGAGCAAAGCGATCACATATTTCATCTAAATAAGTCCGAACGAAAATATTACGATCCATATCGTCGAATTTAGACCAGATATGTTGTAGCCGAAGTGAGTCTACAAGGTCTCGATCCCCACTAGCATAATTTAACCCTTCCCTGAAGAGCTCGTCGTACACCATTGCTCTGAAGTTATCTCTCACCTCCAGCTCATAAGTCTTAAGTTCCTCTGAATTGGTAGCGCTCACTAACACGGCACAAGCGTTCTCAGACAGGTTTCCCATGTAGGCGTCGTACATGGTTTGCAGACACTCGTCGATGTCGTCTTTGCTGACGGCGAGGAGGTTGTAGTTGAGGACGATGGTGAACTGGTCTCCCGAAACTCGATCATTCTCTCGTCTATCCCCTCCGACAAGGAGCGTAGCAACTGTCATAACTGGAAACTCCAACACGGAACCCTGTAGTACGCCTAGCACCACTGTCAGGAGTATTCCTTGAAATATGTTTGTTTTTGACCAGTCTATGTTGAATATATTCAACAACACAGCCCCAAGGGCCAATACCACCCAGAAGGTAAAATAGACGAATACACGTTTAGTCCTATTCATTATTTACCTTTAAAGAACACAAATATCCGAAGTATCACAAGTCCATCATAGATTCAGAACAGTCTTCGATTATGTGACAAATATTGGTGTGCTCACTCATTTATATTTTGAGTTCGAATGAGACATAAAATTAGCCAGTTCCTTATATAGGTCCGGCAAAGGGATTGACCGCTAACTGGTATAATGTTATTTGTAGGGTTGTAAGTTTTCCAAATTATTAGTTAGATTCATTGAGTCAGGGCACCGCCCACCGAGAGGACCGAGACGGCCCAGCCAATGGGTGTCAACTGTCGCTGTTTACGTAGGCACGCATTGTTGTAAGCGTCAATCAAAGCTCCTCCCTTCTGTGCGTGGCTCGTTGTTAATCACATCGTGGTCACACATTCTCGCTCGGTAATCACAGTCCGTCAGTCTGTGTCGAAATCCCGTCGCCTGTAAACAGAAAATACAACTTTTATTTGGAGCATACACGCTCTACCATATGCATTCCACGCAACACAATAGCAGGTGTGAAACGGGCACACGGGTTTCTTCGTTGTGTTAAATTTTATGAAATTTAGGATTGGTGGACATGAAACGGAATTTAATTCGCAACTGAACGTCTCTCAAGCGTGAATATTACGCATCTTAACGTGAAGGAAACAACAGCATCCTGGTGATTAATTTAAGAACAATGTTGTTATAGATAAAGCGTAACTGTACAACATTCCGTTCAACAGAATCAACACTCACAAGCACCGTTAGCAGTTCTCTTAGGTTGTCTTAAAAATAAAACCATTTTCAAGCTCTAAAAATAATTGATAATGACATACGCCTATATTTGCATGATCATACCTTACATAAATACACTTAACTCAAACATACATTCATTATCATGTGCATTAGATAATCAAATATTCCCTTTATCCCCACCCAAAATTTGAATTTAGGTTATTGCTCCTTTTGGTTATGGGAACACGGAGTTGTGTTTCTATGGGGTAAAGGGGCCCTTGGCTCTTAACGGTAGCGTTATCAAAGGCAAGTGTGTCGGAGAATTTCCACGCGTCTGTACATATGCAGAAAACCTGCTTTAATAATGTCATAATCGCAACTCGTAAATTGTAACTATTGTACTTAGTCCCTAAATATAGCTACCTGCGCGTTGAAACTTTTCAGAATTAAAGGTTTTAAAAGTACATTAGCTGTAGAGTCACCACGTGATTCTTTTAATAAAAACACATGCTTAAATTTCATCACGTTTACTACAGTGAACGATATGACCATTACCATTACGTAATTGGAGGTAAATTGGGCGTCGCTATTAGACCATTCTTCCGATAAGGATTCAACAAGGTACAGTAAACTACGGTTATAACGAACTCAAAGGGACCGCTCATTTTAGTTCGTTGTAGCCGTAGTTCGTTATATGCATATATACAGCATAACTATAGCAAATAGTTGGGACAAAAAGTAAGTTCGTTATATCCGTCAGTTCGTTATAAGCGTGTTCGTTATAAACGTAGTTTACTGTTTATACAATCAAACCGTCTTGAGCTATATATCGAGTTAAAGGAGTTCGATTTATCAGGTTGTCACTATAAACGTAACCATTTTTTTTTATTTGTATAAGTGGATATCGTTTTAATTGCAGTGTCAAATACTTGGAGTTTTAAGGAGTCATAAATGTAAGTGTACATAAATTTATGATCTTGCCATTAAGGCAGGTGTGCATACATGTTTTATCTATCCTCCGCCTTTCGTTAATCTGTTTTGACGTCCGCTGGGGTTGTGTAAGTGACAGAAGGCCATAAATCCAGCACAGAGATGCGACACGATGCGTCACGATGCGGCCGTGGTATGTTTTCGGACGTGGGACGTAAATAGCAACGAGACTGTCCGAAAGGAGAGCCCGGCTTAGGACGTATTTACAATCGCGAATACTATTCAACTCACCGGAACAACGTGACCGTCGATCGTGGACATTTTCAATCAGATACCGGATGCAACCCGAGTCACTATATTTCCTCACCGACCCGCCCATGTTATGTATGTAATACTTGAACCGCTTGAAGGTAATCATCTGTGAAACTGGTTCCAGAATACATCCCAAGATTTTATCATACGAAATGAATATCAATGGATGGCTCTCAGCAATATTTTATTTTCCATCTTTCGACTGCATGTACTCAACCGCGTTCTCAAAATAGATTCATACGAAGCGTGACTGCCCGGCCGGGAAACTCCTTAGGTTGGCCTACAAATAGTTGCGGCGTACGTTACAATGCATATGCATAATAATGGGGCGAGATTTCATACGGGCGTGGACAGAGGGTGATTAAGTTTGGGCAGTCTCTATTTGGACTATGGCCATGGCCATACCCAGACAAGACAACTCCCATTTATTCAAGAATGTCAACCATTTATGTGAAAGTTATCTGCGCTCTATTCAAGATATGCTGATTATGTTTTGCTGATCCACTGCATTAAGGTACAAGGGACTTCTATTTTCCATGACTGTGAACAGGAAGGTGCAGTCTATTGTTAAAACTCTGTATAGGGTATGCAAGGTGGAGTTCTAGTTCAGACGTTGTTTATGTGCACAGCTACAGTACGTAATACGAGAGAAATGAAATCTGAAGTGCAAGCAGGTCAATTTGAATTGAATTGATAGGCTTTTGTTATAAATAAAGGGAAATAATACATACGTGACACTTATTGTTACACGCGTGACGTTAATAAAAAGCAATAAAAAGGAATCATTAAGACAGGGTACGTTTTGGTAGATCTCATAAACAGCGTCACGACATCATTGCACATGTACGCATCCTTAAATCAATAAAATAGACTTCTTCTGGACACAGAAGCGCGTATTTTTTGGTTAAATTCACTTCCTAATTTCTCTAAAAGAGCTTAGGGGTGTAGAAGAAGGACATTTGATTTAACCTTAATTTCCCTACATGTATTAGTTAACCCACTGTAAATGATGTATGTGTTATTAACTAAGGTGTCACTACAATGTTCATATGATGAACTACCCACGTCTTGGTTGAGTCACATGGATCACAAACAACCCTTTGATGATACAAACTAGAATTTATATTGTGTCTTTTAATAGAGATCACAATAAAAATAATAACTCAAAATTAGGAATTTGTTTGATGTATATTGTGCATTAACATAAATTTAATTCAGTTCTGCTTCGTTAAATAAAAATCTAAAATTTAATAAATAAAGCTACAACTTCAGCTATGAATGATGAAATCTTTAATAATGCAATAAAGTGAATAAAAGATAAGACTTTGACCTCTTATATAGGGCAGCATGCATGCCTTACACTTGACTTGTCTTTGCATGTGTTTGTGACGGGTGCCACCTATAGGGCGGATACACCTGGTATCATCACTATTAGATAGTGATTCATAAATACATGCTCATGATCTAGTCGGAATCGTACAATGGTCTCCAGTCATCGTTATTCTGTACATATCACTATTCAGAACACCTCTCTATACCGGACTGCCCGCTTGGTAAAGCTTCCAAATGAAATATTTGAGATACACGAGGAAGGGTGGGAATTAATTTGTGCTTGGAAACAACATATATAGATAGACTCTCAATGGACCTTTCTTTTAAAAGCTTCTTGACCAGGTATACATACAACGTGTTCAACTATTCCATATAACTGGACCCGTGAAGATCCGGGTTAGAATAGGTCTTCAGCAACCCATGCTTGCCGTAAAAGGCGACTATGCTTGTCGTAAGAGGCGACTAACGGGATCGGGTGGTCAGGCTCGCTGACTTGGTTGATACATGTCATCGATCCAAACTGCGTGGGTCGATGCTCATGATATTAATCACTGGATTGTCTGGTCCAGACTCGATTATTTACGTCGTATAGCTGGAATATTGCTGAGTGCGGCGTTAAACAACAAACACACCAACCAACCAGCCATATAACTGAGGTTTAATGTTACCAGAATCCCTTTCAAGGTGTTATATTACAAAAGTCCTTAACAGAAAATATCTTGGAAATTTCAATTCATAAGCCAACATACAGAGAAATTTCATTCTTGGGACTATATACTAATTTATACATATGACTAACGCCATAAAATGTTCCACCCAATTATCTTCATCATTCCACGACTGAGTCAGCATTTTTGTAAATAATTTTGCAGCATCATCTATACATACTAGTGAGGAGAGCGTCAAAGCGATGTCGGCGTTCAGGGATTCTGCGATGTAGCTTGATGCAACAGCATTACTCACAGAAGGTTTCCTTGTTCCCCGCCTGTCTTTCTGTGACGTCATTCGGCTTGTCTCACAGTAACAACAATGCGAGCAACAAGGCGTGCTGTGTTATAGATAAATAAACGGTTTGCGGTATGTATAAAATATAACGTAGACTCGTGTCATCTTCTCTAAACTGAATCCTTTGAATCATAATATTTGCGGTTATGAATGAAACTATTTGCGGTTATTAATCAAGTTAGTTGCGGTCTTTTTGCAGATATTAGTTTCATACTAATCTGGATAAATACTAATACTGATCTGGATAAAAAAATCTGAATCGTAAAATCGACTCTGTTTAAAGGAGAGATTTATGAACATGGAAAGGGTTTTGCCGCTTTCATTTCCATACATACAATATGTGATAGAGATATGGTTATATGACAATACTAAGATAGCACTCACTGATAGTATAATGAAAACATATTGTTATATACAAATTTCTCATTGGTTTCTCTTTAATTACAATTACAAGTAAAATAGATATTCATATGTGACGTCGAAATGAAATATTTTTATCAAAGAAGGGGATAAAAAATACATGTGACATACGATTTGCTTTATACCTGATATTTTTTGTCTGTAATGTAATTTACAAATACTTTGCAAAAAATCATGCCAGTTCATACATAATTATATTATTAAAAAGTGTTTATAAAAAATAATAGAATTATGCTGCATCTTATCCTTATCAAATTACATAACTTAAAAATAGTCCATTTTTATGCATGTTTTTTACATCGGGGTCTTTTCAGTTTAAAATTGACAAGATCATGAAAAGGGAAATTGCTTGGTTTTAGTCATTTTAACAGTTTCCTTAATTAGTGAGTCATAAACACATGCTCATTATATAGTCTGAATCGTACAATGGAATCCGCTTTCATCAGAGATTTCTTAAGAATATTGAACTCTTTTATTTAAGTTTAATGACGGTTATATTTAATCGGTTTTACTTTTTAAAACCGTGTCAGTTTTAGTGGGATTAAATAGGTCAGTATCATTTTTGATCTAATTTGATGTTAGCGCATAAACGACACATTCTCAAAAATAGGATTTTGCATGAACGCAGTACCAAAAATATATTAGTCATACAGAAAGTTCTGCGTCGCAAACTACAAACCGAGAATTTAAACGTTATAACTATTCAGAACGGATTAACTGAT